GGTGGACACAACATCTTTGTTTGTATGTGGTGCTGAGGATCGAACCCGGGCCGCACACATGCCAGGCGAGCGCGCTACCGCTTGAGCCACATCCCCAGCCCAATCAAAAAAGTTTTGGGCTTTGAAGCTGTCCATTAACTACATGAAAAAACACCTGTAAAAAAGGTATAAAAATGAAGGTCCCTCCAGGAACAGAGAGATGTCTTCTGGAGGTTGCTGGTCACTTGCAGCCTGTCTTCCTGACTCTTCTTCTTTCACCAATGCCACTCCTCCTTAGGACCCCTGGTCCCTCACTCCCCCTGCCGGGGCTGGACCTCGGCACTTCCCCTCTTGTTTTCTAAATCTTGAGCCACATATGATACTTTTACTCTTTTCTCACTTTAAACATGGTTGGCAGGATCAGTGAGTCCGCCGCAGCCTGTTGGGTCAAGTTTGGTCTTGCGTTTGTGGGCACCTTCACTCACGGCCTTCAGACTGGCCCGCTGGGCTGCAGACCATCCTCACGATGTGGCTCTTCTGATGTCTGGGCTCCTGACCGACACGCGTCCGCTCCAGGAGGCCATGTGCAGGGAACACCCCCGGAACACAGGGATGGCAGCCCTTCTTGGCCTTGCCTGCACTTGTCTGGGAACCCTTGTCATGGCCTGTGAGCGCAGTCCTAGTCCCCAACACCAATTCATGCCAATTTAATAATGAATTGGTTTGGGGAACAGGAAAATGGCTTATTACTTTGCTAACAAAGAAGAACCAAGGGAACTCCTCTCCCAGAGGCTGGGGTTCTGCCCCAGGGAGAACAGAGGGGGCTTTTAAGGCACTCCCCAAGGGCTGCTTTCCAGGTGGGCTCCAGTGTCCCAGGGCACCCTGAGGGCGTGTTGGGAGACATTCACTTCCTGATCCCCAGGCAGACGTCTCCTTTCTGTGGATACAGAAAATGACAGCCCCCCTCAGGGTGGCCTTGGAAAAGGGAGTAAAGACGGAAGCCATAACTCATAGCACTGATGCTCTCCTGGACGTTCCACAAGCCCTGGGTGGGGGGAAGGTGGCCATCAAACCTAGAATGACAGTCTCTGGGAAGAGACTTAAGCTTAGATCTCTCCCCAAACAAATTCTGGCCGCTGACCCTCCGTCACTTGATAATCCTGTCTGAAGCTTCATTTATCTTGAACCACAGACTGAATTGGGAATTAAAGAGATACATTCTGGGCAGGATGGTGACCCCCATTTTTCTTTACAACGTTAGATTTAATTAATTTTTTTTTTTTTTTTTGGACTAGGGATTGAACACAGAGGCGCTTTACCTGAGCCACATCCCATCACTTTTTATTTTTTATTTTGAGACAGAGTCTTACAGGGTTTGCCTTCAAACTTTCCATCATACTGCCTCAGCCTCCCAAGTCTCTGGGGATCCCAGGTGTGTGTGTGTGTGTGTGTGTGTGTGTGTGTGTGTGTGTGTACGCGTGCCACCACGCCCAGCCTCTTAATGGTGTCAAGACTCGTTTGGAGGAGTGAGTCCTGAGGATTTTAGGCCCCTAGGCAGCCGTGGTGGACACTGTCCAAGGTGCTGGGTGCCCGGGGCTGGGGACCCAGAAGGAGTGGTTGAGAGGTGACACCAGCGAGCCATTAAGATGATGATAATTAAGTTAAGCTGTGTATAACTGCTGTGACTTATGATGCTGGATTGAAACAGGCTGTGTATTCAGTTGTACATAGACCCCTGCTGTCTGGCAATAGGGCGGCTCCTGCTGCCTCGGCGCCACTACTTTTGTGTTGAGTTCCCGTTGAGTCCTCGCAGAGTTCCTTGAGTTCTCCGGCGGAGCCAGGTTGAGGCAGAGAGAATTCCCGGGGAGTGCGCATGGAGTGCCATAAAGTAGCTCCTGTTTGAACCTACAAGTGCCTCCTGGCGCCTGGGTTATTTGTGCCCAGCCAGACTGCGGCACTCCCTGCCCTCAGTGGGTGGGGGCCACGGTGGGAGACCCGGTCCATCACAAGTAACCAGCGCACAGCGGCTGGGGAGGCCTCTGGGTTAGAGGAGGTGATCTGGGGGGTGACCTGGGAGGTGACCCGGGAGGGCGCCACCCAGCGAGGAATTCCGGTCACGCCCACGCGTGCCCAGTGGAGCGCGGGGCTGGCGGAGGGGCGGTGCCAGGGGCCGCGTGACCCGTGGAGGAAAGCGCGCGGGCCGGCAGCCCGGTCAGGCGCGGCAGGTGCGAGCCTCAGGCGGTGGACGCGCTGGTGGCCGAGGTGCGGATCCCGCTGGGCAGGATGCAGAGATGCGGGGGTGCGGGTCTTGTGGGCCACTGGGGTCCCTGTGGCGAGGATTCCCTCCCGGGGTACTGGATCCGTTGGGTAGGGTGCAGGGATGCGGGGTACGGGTCTGGGGTCTCCTGGGCGCGAGGGGCCTCCAGAGACGGTGATGCGGCATGCAGCTGCGGGTTCGCCAGGCCAGAGTCTCTCTGGGCTGGGCGTCGCCCAGGGGGACGGAGAGTCCGGCGGGTCGGGGTGCCAGGCCCGGTGGGGGCGGTG